TGTCTGTGATGTACAAGTTTGTTACTTCAAATTGATTTTGGCATCAGGATGTAGGTTACTCCATTTCTTCCAATTATCTGTGTTTTAAATGATTTTTTCTGAGTTACTCCAATGTGATTCCTCCTCTCTTCAGACATGGTGAATCTCTTCTGAGTTTTGTGTGTGTTTTAAGATAAACCTTTTGTCTCTGTGAGCCTTGTATTTAAACAGAATCTTAAGGCTGGAATTATACATAATTTCAAGTAGAAAAGACCCTTTGAAATATAGGGAGTCCTTGTTACCTCATAGAATTAGAACCAGGGGCCATCTGTGGTTCAGTGAAGAGCAGACAGTTGCAAAAGTAATTTTCGAAAGAGATGGAGGTTTTCAAACTTTAAAATCAATCATGTTTGACATTCCATTTCAGTTTAAAATCAAGTTTGTTGTATTACATCAAGACAATTGATAGAATTAAACTTCAATTGTTTTCTTTTTTATTCCTAAATAGTTTGAACATATATATCACATTTCAGACAGTGTATGTGTGTGTGTGTGTATGTGCATGTGTGTAGCTAAAGTAAATCATGTTTTCTTTTTAGAAAGATCCAAAGAATATGACACTAAATTATAATTTTTAAAATCACTTCAGAAAATTGAGAAACGTGTAGAATCCTTTGAAGTTGTTAATTACTAGTTTTGTTTACGTCTTCTGCAGATTAGAAAAAATAATAGCGATCATAAAAAATTTATAGAAATATGCCTGTTAGAAAATGTGTGCATACATCTAAAGAAATCACCAGCAGAGTACAAAGAAAACCCACAAATTGGGAAAAAATTTTGACCCACTGACCCTCAGACAAAGGACTTCTATCTAAAGCATATAAAGAATTAAAAAATATTAACCCCTCCAAATTTAAAGACCCAATCCAAAAATGGGCATCTGAGATGAATACACACTTCTCAGAAGAGGAAATATAAATGGCAAATAAATACATTAAAAAATGTTCAACATCATTAGTCATTCAAGAAATAAAATTAAAACAAGACTGAAATTCCATCTCACCCCAGAAAGAATAGCTATCATCAAGAATCAACTAATAACAAACGCTGGAGAGGGTGTGGAGAAAAAGGAATATTTTTCCACTGTTGGTTGGAGTGTAGACTGTTGAAATCACTGTGGAAATCAGTTTGGAGATTCCTCAGTAAACTAGGATTAGAGGTCCCATCCAACCCAGCTGTTTCCCTTTTGGGTATTTTTCCAGAAGAACTGAAAACATTGTATCACAACGATATATGTGCACCCATATTTATACCATTGTGATTTGTAATAGTTTTATTTTTTATTTTTTATTTTTTTTCCCGGTACCAGGAATCAAACTCATGACCTTGCTCTTGCCAGGCAGGTGCTGTGCCGCTGAGCTAAATCCCCAGCCCCTGATTTGTAATAGTTAAATCGTGGAAGCATCCCAAATGCCCATCAACTGATCGCTGGATAAAAAAGTTGAATTATTTTTATATAATGGCATATTACTCAGCTATAGAGAAAGATAAACTCAGGGCTTTTATAGGTAAATGGTCACAACTAGAGACCACAGTCATAAGTGAAATAAATCAGACCGGCATGTGTAAACAACGTATTGTCTCACTAGTGTAAGAACCTGAAAGAGTAAATAAAATCTAAAAGGTACAATAGATATTGTGAGAGGGAAGAAACTGCTCATAAGGAAAGAACAATTGGGATGAGGGAAAAGAGAAGAGAAACAAAGAAGGGAAAATATGTATATATGTATACACAGGATAGCTAACATAGTTTCACTTCTGACTTCTATTACTTTATTAAAAGGAACAGTTAATGTTTAATTGTTTGATCAACTTTACATGCCTGTATTTGTTTATGTGAGTAACCAATTTGAAGATATAAATATGTAATACAACCCATTGTCAATTTCCTATCACCTTGTCTGAAATTCTGCATTGCTTGTATTGTTTTTCTGTTATTTTGTAAATGTCTGTGTGTCTGCTAATATGCTTTCATTATTTTTATCTTTAAAATAGAAAAAAGAGGGGCTGGGGATTTAGCTCAGCGGCAAAAGCGCCTGCCTGGCAAGAGCAAGGTCGTGAGTTCGGTTCCCGGTACAGGAGAAAAACCAAAAAAATAAAATAAAATAAAATAAAAAGAAAATAGAAAAAAGAAAATGTGTGCATATATTTTAAAACTCATATTTGAGGGCTGAGGGTTTAGCTCAGCATCACAGCTCCTGCCAGGCAAGCTCAAGGTCGTGAGTTCGATCCCCCATACCCCAAAAAACAAAAAAACAAAAAGCAACAAACATATATTTGTGTGAAAAAAAAGTACAGTTTTATTTTAAGTATTTGTACCTTGGCACTGAATTCTATTCTTGTGTAAATATATTTATGGTTGTACGTTTAACCATATATCTACTGACCCTTTATGAGGCTCTGGACAGTGGGCAAGACTAAATCACCTCTTAGAAAACAAATAGATATCAAGTTATTGTGTTAAAACATTGAACAGGGGCTGGGGATTTAGCTCAGTGGCACAGCGCCTGCCTGGCAAGTGCAAGGTCATGAATTCGATTCCTGGTACCAGAAAAAAAACACACAAAAAAAACCAACTAAAACATTGAACAACTGTGAAAACAAATCCAAGTAAAATAATTCCTGTTATGATTTCATTTTTAACATCAATAAGACATTTATTTGTAATTCAATAAAAAATACACATATGTAAAACTAAAAATTTAGAAAATCAAGAATATATTAGTAAGCCTTAAGCATGTAAAATGAGATGCAATTTGTAGAGCTGAATACTGAATAACATTTATTAGATGCGTCATTTATGATCTTAATTATTATTGCCAACCCTGGTTATTTTCACTATTTCACTGAAGAACCACATTAATTATAATATGTGGTACATTTGTATCTGTGTAACATAACACCAAATATAAATATGAACTTCTGAAAGAGGAAAGAAATTAAGGATTGTTGTTTTAGAGTACCTACATTTTAAATATTAACTCTATTTTGCATTTTTCCTCTGTTACAAAGTTATATACTAAATCATAGCCATCAAGATTTCTTACTATAAAAATCCAGTGGAATACACAAAAATTCCATCTAATTAGAAATATGTACATAAATATTAATAAGGAACAAATAACACTTTAGGTCTTTTTGATAGTAATTTTTAGTAATAAACAAAATAAAGTCATTTTCTCTGTATACACGAGATGTAGCTTGTTCCATCGCAGTTTTAAAGGCACTTTTTTTAATATCAATGTTAAAATTTGATTACATTAACTTAATGGAGGCTGATATTAGATTGTTATATGATTAAAGAATTAAAAACAAAGATTAGAGAAGGTAATTGAGATTACAAGTTGATAAATGAAATTTTACTTTATAAAATAAAACTTTTTCGGGGCTGGGGATTTAGCTGGGTGGCACAGTGCCTGCCTGGCAAGCTCAAGGTCGTGAGTTCGATTCCCGGTACCAGAAAAAAAAAAAAAAAAAAAATAAAAAAACAAACAAACAGATAAAACTTTTTCATTGGGCTTTTACAAATAAGTGTATATAAAATGGGAGAGCATTGCAATGTATAATTATATGAATTTTCTTAATTTCTTTCTTCTTCAAAAATGATTTAATGTTTATGAAACAATTCCTAGGGAAGATTTTCATTAATATCACCTACTGAATTATTTTTCACTCAATGTACTGGAAAAATTTGAGGATAAGTAATTATCTGTAGATTAAAATACAAAGCAGTCCAAGGCTTCTGTGATGATGAATAAGGGTCCTAAGAAGGGAAATAGGATAAGAATACCTATAGTAGTTATATAAATAATATTAAATTCTAGGTAATGGATCTTGTGAAGCAAAATTAAGTTATATTGTTTGATTTTTCTTATATGAGAAATCAAAATTATGAATAAAGAGCAAATAAAAGATAAGAAGCAGGGAGAGAGATCTTTCTCAAATGGGAAGGTGATCAAGAGATGGATGGAAGGAGAGGAGAGGGGTGTAAACAGAAATTAAGATGTATTTTGTACATGTACCAACGCCATACAAGAAGTACAAGTATTATGTATTGCTAATATGTACTAATATAGAGGAAAGAATAACGCTTTCCAAAAGCAATTATATTTATGCTGACTTTTATTTTTTTAATTTTTGTGTATATGTGCAATTCATAATAGATATATTCACTGGGGGCTATTGGTAGACATATGTATCTCATTTGGACCTTTTGTACTTTGCGTTCCCCTCTCATCTCGCTCATCTCCTCCCACCAGTACAAAGTTTATCTCCCTGATTCTTAACATCTTTCATTTTAAATGTGAGATCTCACTCTAACAGAATCAGACATCTCATACAACATTTCAGTCATCAAATTACAAAAAAACATCCTAACTTAAAAACTGAAGGAGGAAGGGCTCATTTTGACTATGATGTTAATGTCTCAGTGTGTGAAATTTCCTCAAAAACAATCTTAGTACTGGTTAGGGAGTGCATCATATTGAAAAAAAGAAACACTGTTTTGATATGCTTGAAAGACCTCTGCTGGCTGAAGATAATTCTGTAATATACATATCCTTAGCATTACTATTCAAGTTGCTCTTCATATTCAATTGTTTGATTTTTTATTTTAAAGAGAAGAAAACAATAATACAGAATTTCAAAATAAGGTAACATGGATTAACAATAGTTAATATATTGCATGTTGCAATCTTCAAAGTAGTTGCTCAGATTACAAGATACAGGTATGCATAATTGATAAAACAATGTATATATAGCTCAGCAGCAAACTGCCTACCTGGCAAGTGAAAGGTCCTGAGTTCAATTCCTGGTACAAAAAAAAAAAAAAAAACCTGGCTACACTTTATAGTAGGCTTCTTATTCTGTTACAGATTAATTTGCAGTTTATAAATACCTGTTATTTTGCATTGCAACATGATTGGCTTCTTCCTCTCAATTGTCTTCCTAAACTTTTAAAGGTATGATCCAAAAAATGATTCATGGTCAACTATGGCACCCCTGAGTGTTCCTCGAGATGCTGTTGGTGTGTGTCCCCTTGGAGACAAACTCTATGTGGTTGGAGGATATGATGGACACACTTATTTGAACACTGTTGAGTCATATGATGCTCAGAAAGATGAATGGAATGAGGTACTCTAATATAAATATTCAAATGGGTGTATGTCAGGTTTTAAAATGAATTTTTAATTAAATGTATTCTCTTCCACTCTTGAGCTTAAAAATCTTTTGGAGAAATTGATAGTACGTGTTTCATCTATGCCTTAGAATTACTAGTTGGAGTTGTTTATCCTCAGCAGGATTCATTAGTACTGACATGAAAGAGAATATTCTTTTTAGGCTGATGCTCAGTAAAGTCTTCAAACCTTCTTTATAAGTGTGTAAATTGCAGTGCTTCTAACTTCTTCAGTTATTCAAAAACTTTAGCACACACAAGTGGCCAGAATTAAACTTTCTTAAAGGAACTGAACATCTAATACAGCTAGTTCCAAGAATGGTACAAAAAGAAGCACTACAAGGGCGTCTAGGTGATGTCAAAGGCACATGACCCTTTTTGAGAGATTTACAAGTGATAACCTTTGAATTATTAAAAAACAATACTGATAGTTTGTCAGCTCAATAATTAATAGGTTAATAAAAATGATGCATGATTAACTCTTATTTTAAAGTGGAAAAACACTAACAAAACAACAACAATGAAGACAAAAACAAAAACAACACAAAGAAAACAGAAATGATACATGACCTCAAAACAAAATGATAGAAGTTAACAATGGTTGCTACATTACATATTGTTCCCTTCAACGAAGTTGCTCAGTCCACCAGATGTAAGAATGTAAGATTGATCAAACAATTAAAGACAATAACAAGTAGTAAAAAAAAAAAATAATGGAAAAGATACAGAGCTTTACCATCTACACCAAGAGGGAAATCTTGTAGTTAAGACCCCTCTTCACTTACATTATAGTGAATTCATGCTACAATGAACTATATTGGGTTTTAAATAAGCAGGTATTAATATGACCATAACTGATAACTGCTATCTATCCTCCAAATATATGGTTTATTAAAACTCTTAAAATGTCTCAAATTCTGCCATGTAGCTACCTCCATCCTTTAATAATGTTTAAGAACAAACAAAAATGAAAGAAAAGACAGACAACAACGTATTAGGTCAACAACAATAATACAAATATGTGACTAAGATTGTGGAAATTACTTTTCTAAAGATTGTACACCAGGAACTAGGGAGAACTAGCTTCTATTTCAGGCTCTGTCATCCTTTTATTATGTGTCCTTAAAGAGAGTGAATAAGAATTAACAGAGTGGAATTGTAATTATGTATTCCTAGTTCTTATTTTTCATTAATGAAACTGTCAAAAGTACTTTGATGGGTATTTTTTACCTGTAATTTTTCAAGTGAGAGAATTGTGAGAGTTGAAACTCAGTCAAGATCATCTGACCCTTAAACATAGATCTACACCATTCTAAATGCTATATTCTTTTCCTCACACTTCACTCTTATCTGGATTACAGGTACTTTCTTTCTTTTGTTTTTTTTTTTTTTTGTACCAGAACTCAAACTCAGGGCCTCATGTTCGCCAGCCAGGTGCTGTGTACATCTTTTCAAAGATGACCAAAATAAGTTAGGAGTTTTCCATACCAACATTCTATATGATGCTAAAGACAGAATTCAAACAGTGCTTATTTCCTTGTTTTTGTTTTTAGGAAGTTCCTATTAACATTGGAAGAGCTGGTGCATGCGTTGTGATGGTGAAGCTACCTTAAAATCATCTTTATTAAGTGTAACAAAAGTGGATAACTTCAAGAAAGAGAGTAGGAAGAAGAGCAAAGGAAGAAATATGTTTTCTTTCAGCAATTAATCACCAAACTTGAAAATTATGGTGTCACTTTAATATGTGCTTACAATTATTTTCATTTATACAGTTTAAACAAAGCTTTCAACATGAACTGAGTATGAAAGCTAATTTTATGTACTGTCCCCGCTGTAACATAGAGGGAAATATAGCTGTGTAGGTTTAGTTTTGTTACTATAAATGTTAAAATATGCAATAAACTTGATAGTGATGAAAATGTAGAATTTATAAAAGAATTAGCAATTTCTGGTGAGACCCACAGAAGCTGTTATTTTTCTCTTTGTCGATCCCAACTGTTAGGTACATTTATATAATGCTCCACAATCTGCAAAACGCTTTGATATTGCTTATTCCCAGGATATGAGAGTATGACAGGACTGTTCAAAGCATGACATTGGATTCAGACAAATCCAGCAATGTAACACAGCTCTGTCACTTACCAGTTGTATAATCTTTTAAAAAAAAGTTTAATAAAAAATGCTACTCTATTTTCTGGAATAAAATTTAATGTAGAAAGACAATGTCTGAGACTTAAAATGTAAAGTCTGAATGCTAGTGATATATCATTTTTATTCAAATAATATGCCAAAATCTAAATAATCCCTGACATTTTCCAGCATGAAAGAATTTACAGTTTTATTACTGTAAAACTGGTTCATTGACATAATTTGCTGTGCTCATTCTACTATGTCAAACTTTTATAAGCTTAATTTTCTGCCATAGAACACATAGATTTTATATATCTTAACATATTATGATCAGTAAGTTGCCAGTGAAATATTGTGATGTCACATATGCAACTTTATAGTAACAGTAAATATTTATGATTGATACGAACTCTGACTCAGTTTCAGTCATGGCTTTCTTTGAATAGAATAATATTCTCAAATAGTTATGTGAACTCTAAACATGTACTATTAAGTTAATCAATTTTTAAAACAAAAACTTAAACGCATTAAAATTTAGAAGATGTTATACAATATTAACATATGCAAATATCAGAATCTTTAGTATGCATGTACAATTCTATAGTTTTTTTTTATTTACCAACATAAGTTTTTCTGTTAATAATATATTTATCCAGGAGGAAATGTTAAAGATATAACAAAAAGCACACTTTCAAAATTGTGAAAAAAGGCAATTTGAGTAGTATTTTATGCTCTTATTTCCATTCAGTTATAAAATTAGCAGGTGAAATATTGAAACAAACCTTATGACAGTAAATTTTAAGTAAACATTCCATTTTAGAATTTCTGCGGTATTTATGTTCTTTTTAAAAACTTTGGCCTTTTATTTGTGAAACCATGAATATCTAGAGAGAGGCTTATAAAATGCACAACAAAGTTAAGTTTTTAAAAAGAACAAGAAAACTTGTACAAATATATTGTACTATAAATTTAAATAAAATCTATTGCCTTTGGTTATGAAAAAAGTGTCCCTTTAGAATACATGAAGTGCAGCCTAGGTGAACTTTCTGATGTTGTATTACTACAATAGCTGAAATATTTAAATACAAAAGATCCGCCCATTCATTTCTTACATCAGAGATTGTTGATATCTCAAAATAGAGGACATGGATTTTTCTAGGTATAGACATGAAGATATAGAGTCTTTGAAACATTGACAACCCTATTGGGTCTTTTTGATTGATTTACCATTTTGTTCAAACCAGTGTAGAAGATATTTCAACCTTTATTTCAAACACACCTTGAACTGCCAAGTTAAATTAGGCATGAACCAGAGGGTAAGGTACACATAAAAGGACTTTATCACAGCCCAACTTACCAATGCTCCAGTTACAGTTATATGGCAGACTGTTCAAGCAAGTGGAGATGGTATATCATCTTCATAATGTTCTAGCTATATTTGCTTTTCTTTCAGTATTTATTCATTTGTAAGAAACCTAAAGAATTGTCGCTGCACTGTCACATGTGAGAATTATGTTTGGGACACTATGGCCTAATGTAAGATGCCACAATCAGGGTAGATTTGAGTTAACAGTAGTAGAGAAACCAATAGCACTAAAGCATACTTGCACCTGTCTCTTTAATCATAATTGAAAAAAGAAGGGATAAGGCCTGGTCCCTTATTACCATACTTCACTGGCTTGGCCTTTCAGGACAAGCTTCAACGAAGATAGAAACAGTGCTGATATCTTTTATAGTCTTTCAAAAAGTGTAGGTGCTCACATTTAGACATTATATTCTGATAACAAGGAAAACTCCACTTCTTGGTTTTTCTGTTTTTCACTATGATTATGCACAGTATCCTATACAATACAGTCCTCAGGTATCGTTATAACATTCCAGCACTAAGTTTTCTATATTTGTACATGGCATGTAGACACTGTGAAGTGCACTCTATATCACACAGCCACTGAAGGAGATTCTGGAGCACTAAATTCTGGTCATCCCTCTCCCAAATTATGCCATATATCAACTTGACAGAAATGTGTCTGAATTTCCATGTTGATGTGGAAGGAACACTGAAAGGCATATACTTTCTGGAGTCCCAAATACAATTACAATATGGTAGAATGAATATTTTTCCTTTTCCTCATTTTCTAGGGCATAATTCTTAAAATCTTTGGGATCCCCAAATCTATGTGTATCTCCCAGTATGCTACTGGCTTGACTGGTAGCTTGTAGCACCCAGATAACTTCAAGGTAGGCCTGGGCACAGGTAAGACTAAGCCATGATTAAAGGATTGGGACATTTCAGCCCTACTCTCCAACTAGGAAGGGTAGAAGGGCTGCTGCTTAAATTGACCAACAATGACCAAATGTACTTTCATAATGAACCCTCCATCAAAACCCAGAAGTACTGGTTGGAGAAATTCGAGACTGCTGAATAAGTGGAGGGATTTTTTTTTTTTTTTCCTTTTGGGAGGTGTCTTAATCAGAGGGTAGAAAAACTCCACACTTCTCCCTCCATGTCTTACTCTATCTTTTCCTGCCATGTTCACAAATATTTCTGTAATATCCTTTATATTAAAGTAGTAAATATAAGTAACTGTTTCCTGTGTTCTATAAGCAGATCTAAGAAATTCATTAAACTTCAAGAGGCGGTCCTGGGAACTCCAGAGTAGAGCCAAAAGACTAGAAGCACAAGTAAATCAACCAAGGGCTTACCAGTGACATCTGAATAAGGAGAAACAATACTGGAAGCTGAGCATTCCACATGGAAATCTGATGCTATCTCAGAGTAGATAGTATCAGAGTGGAATTTACTTAGAATGCATGCAGTTCGTGTTCACTGCAGAATTTCTTTCTTGCTTGAAATTTGGGAAGAAAAAAGACAATGCACATTTGGTCACAGAAATATTTTGTCTTCTGAGAATATACTTGGAAGCCACTCAGCTTGTTTCTTCCTATATATAGACATTATAAAAACTAGGAGTTTGGATTTTCTCTGAATTTTTTTCTTTTTTATAAACTTCAATTTTATACTACATGTTTGCAGTACATGCATTTTACAATCATCCTGGAAAGTGGGTAGAGGTACCTAATACATCTTGCTTCTTTTTCTATTTCCCTTCCCCTTCCATCCAAATTCCATCATTCCTAATCTATTTCCTCTTTTCTCTTTTTATTCTTGTTTATATTATTAAATCTAGTTCATATTTATGGCATGTAGTGTTCACATTCATTTGAAGTATTAGGATCCTGTAGATAGCTTATCTTTGTTCTTTTAATTTCCCTACTCCCTCCTCTTCAATCCTTGCCTTGGGTCTGTTGAACCCCTTTCCATTTGCAAGATATCATCACTTTGTCTTCTTCTGTCCTTACTTTATTGTTCTCTTTGTACTTTGCCTTTCTCCAATGAGAAATTCCATAAGGTATTTAAACGTGTGTGTCTGATTTGCTTCACTCAACATTATATTTTCAAGGTGCATCCATTTTCCTACAAATGTCTCAAATTTGTCCTTCTTTACAGCTAAGTAATTTTTCATTATACAGATATGACATTTTCTTACTTCATATTGAATAGCAATGATCAAGAAATAAAATAATAGCAAATGCTGGTGTGGTTTAGGTGAAAAAGGTACTCTCTTTAGTTTTGTAACATGACTCCTAGTCTGTTAGCTTAGTCCACGGGAAGTAAAAAAGAAATGGCATCCATGAAACTTTTTGCATCTGGTACCATTATTTGTCCAAATTTTCTTCCTATTAGGGACATGTTTTAAAGTTACTTTTCTTCTTTGTTATAGCAAGTTTTTACATCTTATCTCAATTACTCACATATGAGAAATGACATTTGTAAATTAAGTAGGTGATATGGTATGTTCTAGTAGGTTTAGCCCAAAATTACCTGACTCTAAGGCAGAAACTGTGTGCTGAAAGGTCATGACAGAAGAAAATTCCTCACCAAGTTGCCACCAGGAAGCACAGAAGGGAGGAGCTGGAGGTGACAATACAACATTCTAGGACATACACCTTCTGACACACCTCCTCTGATCAGGCATTAATGAGATTTTTAGGGTACATTTTGTTTCTAAACCATCATATTCTGTCCCTGGCCCCCAAAAGGCTCATCTGCATCTCATTACACAAAATCCATTTAGTCTATCTCTAAGAGTTTTCCAAATCAGAAAAGATGTAGCACTACTGAAAAGTCCCAGTGCAAAATCTCCCCTGAAAGTTAGAGAAAAACCTTAGCTCTGAGCTTCTGTAAAAATAATATAGAAAGCAAAATAGTCCAAATGTACAACTGCACAATACGCCTAATCTAGAAAGAAGGTATAGGGAAATAGAAAGGAGTGGAACCAAAGCAAAACTGAAAATGAGTGCAGCAAACTTATATCTGGTAGATTCACATCTAGTCCTTGGCGCAGGTAATGCTGCAATATGCATTCCAAATATTCAGGCAACTTCTCCCCTGTGGCCTTGCTTCTGGAAGCACACATCGCCTCTCACTCAGACTAGCTCTGCTCACTGCCTGCAGCTTTCCTCAACAAGTGTACTACATTTTTGGCACTCCCTTCCTGGGATCTTCACTGAACTTTTGGCTTTACTGTCACTGCTGAATGCACTGTCCACTTAGGGGCACATTGCTTCACCTTCCAAATCTTTCTTTGAAATCTGGGTGGATGCCTCCAGGACTCCATAATTCTTACATTCAGAATGCCTGAAAAATTAGTACCACATGGAAACCACCAAAGTCTGTTGTCAGCTGGAGCAGTAACTTGGTTCACTTGGACCGTGGGTGCAACAGCCTGTGTGTGCCTTGGTGACTGAACTCAGAGTAATTCTTCCTCCATAGGACTATGCAGCTCTGTATGTGCAGTGGATCTGGGTATATTTTTCAAAAGCAAAACTTGCAAAGTAACTTATACTTTTCTGTCCTTAATGAATGGACGGATGGGTGACCTCCATCTAATTTCTGAGATCTCTTCAAAGCCTCTTTTTATTGTCCTGATTCAAAGTACATGGGTTATTTTAATGTAAATATTTTCAGCGTTCACATCCTCCTTTTCACAAATTTATAGGAACTTTCTTTTCTGAAAAAGCTTGGCATCATTTAGCTCTGCTTTCATTTCTTCATTCTCACTGCTAATCTCACTGAATGCAGACAGAAATATTCATATGACAACTTGAACATTGTGTTACCTTGAAATTTTTTTCATAAGTTTAACTACATCATGGTAGCTGTATCTCATTCTTCTGCAGTCTCAGAACATAAGCAAAAGGTAGGCAAATTTTATGCCTGAGTTTAACACACATGGTGTCTAGTCTATATGATAATGGAGTGCTTATACCCAAATGAAAACCTATGATCCTGGCTGTTATTCTCTGCATTCCTATCAGCGTTCTGGTCTTCATAGCTTTAACAAGCATCACACA